AATCATGACCCCCGGGGTAGGGTGGGGTCACAATGGGGGATCAAAGTTTTACATAGGATATATATATCGAAAAATCTTCTCCACAAAAACAGCAAAGCCATCTTAAGTCAGATTGATATGGAAACATCCTCAGGTATTGTAGATTCAAATTTGTTTAAACCATGATAACAGGTCATATAAAATTAATTTTCCGCCGGAATATGGCTGAAATATAGCCGACTCGGCGTTAAACCCTAATAAATCAATCAATCAAACCATGACCCCCTAGGGGTAGGATGGGCCACAATGCACTATCAGGGTTTAGCATGTGAATGTATAGGAAACAAATTCTAAAACCTTTTTTTCAGGAACAACAAAGCCATGTTTAGTCACATTGATATAGAAGTATCTTGAGGTAGTGTAAATTCAAGTTTGTTTAAATCATGACCCCGAGGGGTAGGGTGGGGCTAGCGCTATATCTATAAAAATCATGACACCTGGGGTAGGGTGGGGTCACAATAGTGATTAATGTTTTACATTGGAAGATATGTTAGAATAAATTTGCTGATGAAAAACAGCAGGGCCTTATTGACTCAGGTGAGTGTTGTGGCCCATGGGCCTCTTATCTTATGTCAAGGTCTTGGAAAATCGTAGGACGATTCTTTATAAAAGACAGTGACGAATCTGAATGTATAATGGTAGTACAATGTATATTTATCTAGAATATATTCACCACATACAAACAAAAGATAAGTTCAGATTTATTATCCATGTATATCACAAAAATGTTATGTTAGAATGATCATTAGTTGTACTGTATCCGTATCTATAGACTTTGATTCATATAGCATGAAAAAGAGGGAGTATTTGTTTCTGTATTCATACAATGAATTGGGAAAATAATCACCTTAAAAATAAGAAAGGGTTCATCAACACTACGTACATAATGTATGTGGTAAATGCCTTGTGTGACAAGTAAAAAGAAATCTGTAATACACCAGATGGTGTTTATTTTCTACGTACTTGATACGCAAGGAGCAGATGGAAATTTAAAGGTGTTATTGCCACCACTCCCCCTCTTCCTCACCTGAGATGCAATGTATTACCGGAAATTTCTCCAGCCACTACCGAAATTATTCATATAACATGCGCAGATCTGGGGGGGGGGGTCGGGGGACCCCCCCCCCCGCATCTGGAATTTGCAGAGTTATTAAAAGTATATACTGATGTAAATAAAAAATGACTTTGGGCCCCCTTAGAAAACGTGGACCCTACCATCACCACCACGAAATAGGTGTTTTTCACGTTTTGGAAATGGAATTGGATTTTACGGTTTTTTTTCTTCCTTGTCAAGAAATTTTTGGGTTAGAAATTTTTTTGACTGGGATGCCCCCCCCCCCCCCGAAAAATTCTTGATCCGCGCCTGTATAATCATTATTCAAAATTGTTAGGTAATATCCGAAACAACATATGTGCAATGTATAGCATTTATGAAAATCGAACTTCAAAAATTCTGTCATGACTACATGAGACCGATTGTATTATTTCCTCCATGGTTACCACGGAGAATGACTGAGGACTTCGAAAAGGATGATTTAAGGAGATTGGCAAAGTTCCTAGCTTTCGTAAAGAATTTTTCAAAAACTCTTGAGCAGGTGTAGTTGTACTAAACAATACACTTTATTGGTTTTCACCGCGTAGAAAATTCTACACGGGAGATCACTCTCAATCAAGCTCCAGACAGCTCAGTATTACTCCATATCATTATTCGTAGGGAAAGAAGTCCCGGAGAGTATGGAGTATGACTCTCAGTCATACTCCATACAGTGTCAATTCTCCGGGACTACTTGGTATGGAGTTGTAGCGTAACGTAATACTGAGCTGTCTGCAGCTTGGACTCTCATGATGGAAAACCCCATGAATTACCTTTTTTCTCCGGATAACCGTGAGTTGCCACTTTCCATAAATGAATAAAATAAATAATCATAAATAATCAGCGTTTTATAAAAGAAATATATTTTTGATTTAAAATTAGACTGAAACGCTTCTAGTCGACATCACGAAAATGTACATATCATGTAGCTTGAAATGGGAAATATGACTCACGCTTGACAACGTCCCCAGAAACACAATCAGTCAGTATATATCTGGGTGCATTTGGGGGGGGGGGGGGGTTATCGCACAAATTAATGTAGAAAATAGAAATTCCTTGATACGCAAAAAAAAAAAAGGAAGAGGATCAACTGATGTTCCCTCCCCCTTCCCCCGTTCATACAGACGTGAGATACGTAAATGACTTGTATATAGAACTGGACATTCAACTTTGCCCAAAATGCTTCATGTCGGTAATAAAAGAAAATATTTTACAATAATGATTTCAAATTTTAATCGGACATGCAATACAGCCTGCTAGATTATCCCACAGTCTGTCTATTATAGTCACAGTAAAATGTGTAATTTCTTTTTCTTTCTTTTTCTTTTGGCAAAAAAAAAAAAAAAAAAAAAAAAAAAATGAAATATTATTTCATATGTAGTTCATTATGACGAGGAAGAGTTTTTATAAGAAAGAATTAAATCCAAACCATGATTATACTTTAAATCTGATGTATATGTTTTCAATATTGAATTACCTGTTTTAAGCTTTAACATTACATGTATTTTGTTTCTGCAGTAAATACAGATCGAATACAATATTAGGCTATATATTATCCTATCCACAAATAAAGGGCAAAATATTATTATAAACTGAAAACAAGTTAATTGTTAAAACTAAAGGGAAGCATATACATACTTTTATTTTTTTATCGGTCTTAGTATTAAACTCTACACTTGGAATAAGAAATTTCTTTAAATATTGTAATAAAAATAGACTATATATTATTATATAATTATATCACAATTTTGATGTGTACGCATGAATATCATAATAGTATTATAATTTGTTCTTCAGCATAATTTATTAAAATAGAGAATTCATATCTATTGATTTAAAGCAAACACATGACCATTACATTGTCATTGCTATCTGCCGCGGGCTCTACCTGCGGGTACCTGTGAGGTATACGAATACTTCACACCCCCATTGTTTTATTGCCTATACACACCGGCAGATTTCACACCTTTAATCGTCCTAATTTACACAAAGCAAATGCTGGGGAAAAACAAACACAAGCCCAATAAATGCGACATTTTTTTTGTAAATCATTGCCCTAAACGGCATTGCTAAAAGCACACTAAACATGGAGTAGCAATTCCTGCCCTAAGAGATATATTGTACAAAAAAAAAATAAACACAACAGCTAGGGTAAATCCTTCATCTTTCTTCATATGATGTAAACAAACTCTCTTTAATTTTATGTGTCTAAGTCAAGATTAAAACATTTTGCACCACCCGGACCTTTAAACTTCGGCGGACCTTTTCTTATACGGACCGGACCTTTTCTTATAAAAGGCGGACCTTATATGTTATCGTATTAGGTCCCCCCGGACCTTTAAACGAGGCGGACCAAATATTATGCGACAACCCCATCATGGCCGAAGGAATCGGAGGGCACGGGGGAGGGGGGCGTTTTTGGTAGTTGACAGTGTCCCCAACTGAAAATTGATAGTGGTGCCGCCCCCCCCCCCCGACCCCCCAGTGGAATTGCTTCCTACAGGCCTGCCTATCTCTCTCTATAATTTATATAACTTTATTTTAGAGTAAAATGAAATAACCTGTTGGTGAAGAAAAATCCTAATTCTATGTCTTACTACTATGCGGTACTTTAATTTAATTATATATGTATTATAATTACTGTGTTGTTAAAGGTGCATAGACAGAGATTTGAAGTTTATATTTTCTCAAATATTCTGTACTATATTACAACTTATATGTTGCTATAGCATTTCACACGAAAATAAAATTAAAAACTTATTTAATCTGGAAGTTATTGAAACTATGAATTTCTGGAGTCGTTTGATTAACACATCCTTGCTCTTTCACAATTATCTACTTTATCCTTAATACTTGAGACAAGTAGCATTTTTGTTGTGTATTAATGAATAATATTACATCTATAATCCAGAAAATTCAGAGTAAAAATGTGCGAAAGCAAAACCCACTCACTTAAGTATTATCAGCCCGTGCTCAGTGTTGTGTAGTTGTGTACAGAGTTTAACAAATTGAATACACCCGTGAAACATAAACTGTTTTTGTAAACAGGGCACGAGCTCTGTTGTTGTTAATGTTTACGTTTCACCGGGTGTGTTCAACTGTTAAACTCTGCACACACCACTGAGCACGGACTGACAATACTGTTGAGAGGATTTTGCTTTCTACATTTCTACTCTGAAATTTCTGCATTATAGTTTTAATATTTTGCATTAATAAACAACAAAATTGCTACTTTTCTAAAGTAATAAGGATAAAGTTAAAATTGTGAAAGTGCAAGGATGTGTCTATCAAACGCGTCCAGAAATTCGAAGTTTCAATAACTTCCAGATAAAACAAGATTTTTATCAAATTTTCGTATGAAATGCTATAGCAACATATAAGTCATGAAATTATACAGAAAATTTGAGTAAATATTAACTTCAAATCTTTGTCTAATTAAGCACCTTTAAGTAAAATCATACAATTAATTCTGAAAATTAGGGCTAGAAACTTATGAATTTATATAATGATTCGTCAATTTGCAAATTAAAAAAAATGATAAAAATATGTGCTTTTTGTTGCATGACCATGATGTAATCTTTCAAAAATTACAAAAATATTCAAAGCATTGAATAACTTTAGACCTATTATGTTTTTATTACTGTGTAAATAGGATATTCGAGAAACACAATTGTGACCAAGCTGTTTTAGGCCTAAAAATCATTAGACCACATGTATATGATGTGGTATATTATCTATATAATTATGTATACTGAACCGGGAGACATATAGGCAAAGTAGCCGAAGTGTGTGTGGGACGAATTCACTCTGAACCGTCCATTCGGAATCATGCAGGGTATAAAATTCCGGGGATTACCGAATGGAGACCTTCACTTGGAAGCACGTTTGTTTGTCGGTTTGAAAGAAAATGAATATTACTTTTTGGAAAAGATGCGAGAGTTTAGTTAAACATGTTAACATATGTTGTCCATTAGCGAACGTATCTACAGGTACTGCCATAACAGTGTATGCCTTGTGGAAAATGTTTTAGTTCGTTTTGTCTCGAATTTCCTAGCACTGATTAATTTCTAGACATGCACCTTTTTTCTGTCGTAATATTTATATTTTAAAAGTCCATTTATGACATATTTACAGCGGGTCGATGAACAATGCCAATGTCATAACTTTGAAGCATAAGTGAATACAAATAGAATATTGATCTGAAATTGGCAACCGATTCTTTCAAAACTTTCTTCTCTCCTAATTTTTTTGTTTGCTATTTTTCAATATTTATCACTACTTCATAGTTTCATAAGACCATCATTTTTTTTATTTTTAGGTTTACGAACCTCAGAATTTAAAATGGCGTAGGAGGAGGAAATATTTATATAAAAAAAATAAAATCATTTTTTTGAAACATTTAATTATCAACTTTATTCTGTCGTATACATTAAGCAATTTTAAAAAGTATCCATTTATTTCTTTAGAACATCATTGTAGAGCTTGTCTTTATTATTCATTGGAGTCATTCTGTAAATTTTCAAGAAATATCCAACAACTACAAGAAAAAATTCATGAAGAACTTTTCTTACGGGGGTCCGGTCGTTATTTAATAAGAAGTCACTTTGATGGGGGCAGCCAGTCATATGTTCTGTTCACATCATAGAGAACATCAAAAGCATGATGTTAAATGGGTTCAGGGACTGCCTTGGGGTGATTTTCATAATATACTATACAATTATCGCTGTTTTTGTGGTCAGTACGATGATTTAGCCACCCGAGGAGTACAATATCACTGAGCCGAAGGGCGAGATGAATATTGTACTTCAAAAGTGGCTAAATCATCGTATTGACTGAAAACCGCAGTAATTGTTTTATTAATAGAGTAGACCTTACCCAACCCAAACTCGCATAGATAATGCTTTTAGGAATGCTTACTACAAGTTAGATTTTGGATGCATACGCTGACATACATTTTCTGGATGAGTGGCCACATTTAATTTTTTTTTAGGTCTTTTCTCAAGTAACTATAAACCTGTCCTTAGCTAAACTTGCATGGGATCTAGGGATGCATATTACTGCAGTCTGGGCTGTGATGCTTTTTTTTTCTACATATAAATAAAACATTGTGATGATGAAATTGTTAAATTTAATTGTGCTTTATTGAATGTTCATTGAATGTACATGTAAGAACTAGTCTCACATGAAAACAGATTTTATGGAGGATTTTCTGTGATTATTGTTATATCTGTGATGTAAATCTGCATTCTGTGGAAAATTTTATAAATTAGCATTTCTGTGGGAAGTGATGTAAACCAATATTCAATTATAAAATAGATGACATCACAATAAATTATCTAAACCAGTGCTTGGATGTTTCTGATAAACAATGTTTAGAACTGTATACATTAATGATACATTTACCACAGGTTCTGTCCTGAGGAAGAGAGGACAAGATGTGTTTAGACCCCCTCACACCGCCCCTGTGTCTTACAGTGTAAAAAGATACTTCCACTTACAGTCTGTTTGTCTGGCCCACAGGTGAGAATTATCTTCATAAATCAAGGTAAAGTTACTTAGATTTCATATATGCATGTCAAAGAGGAGTCATTTCAAGGGGAGTGACAAAATAATATTTAGATTTCATTCTCTTGAAGTGATCAATGGTTAAGAAATTCAGAATGATTTTTTTTTTATCAAATTCGTTAGTTTGAATTATTTTTCATCAGGGTAAAGGAGGCAGATGATCTTGCTGTTACACAAACAGAGTCTGTAAAGAAAACAGAAGGTAACCTTTTAATTAACTGTTTATAAAGTGGTATATCTTGCCTGAGTATCACAGGCTAGCTAATGATATGATACATATCATGATACTGTCATGCGATAGAACATGTATCATGATACAACTGTCAACAATTGAATTAACCTCTATCTTAACATATTATTCTTTGCTAACCTCCACAGTTATAGAAAATATAAAAAGAATATCTTGATACCCCTGACCAAAGTTACATTGTAATAAAAGGTGGATTTATAGTCTTGACATAGAATTTTTCTTTGATACCTTTTTTTCAGCCATTTTAAAACATTAAAATTTGTTAGGTTATATGTAGAAGTTTCAAACAAAACAATGAAAACTAGTAGACTAATTGTTCACAGAACAATTAGAGGTCTTTCCACCTTCTTTAGGTTTCTTTAATTTATATATTTTTCTCTCTAAAGTTAATTTTTATCCAAAAAGAATCCATAAAGGCTTGAAAGATAAAAAAATGAAAATTTTAAAAATTTTGAAATGACCTTGACCTTTAACCTTTTCCGCATATTGAAGGTCAAAGGTCATGAATCACATTGCAATTGGTCTCATGCTTCCACGACTTTTAGTTTTAAAGTTACAAGGTTTAATAGTAAGCGCAAAGACGTTAAAGGGTGATAACTCATAAAAGGGGTCATCGGATCCTTTTGCACTGAATAGATTGAAGTTGTGTCTAAGGACCCTGAAGACATTAGTGAAGGTTTGATGTCTCTACAATCTACGGTTTCAGAGGAGTAGCGATAACAATGTTTTTCGCACAAGGGGCAATAACTTTCAAAGGGGTTAAGCTTAGGGGACAAGAATGATATCTTTGAAATAGATTTAAGAGTACATATTAATGATGCAAAGATATTTAGGATATGTTGAAAGACAAAAGATCTATAAAAAGAGCTTAATTTCTCATATTTTGAATGATCTTGACCTTTGACCTTTGCATATATTTGAAGGTCAAAGGTCAATGAATCTTATGCAGTTGGTCCCATCTCTCTACAACTTATCGTTTTGAAAATTTTTAATTATTCGTAAGTTTCATAAACTTTCAGGGGCAATAACTCATAAAAGGGGTTGACGAATACTTTCGCAATGAAAAGACTGAAGAGTCCCCTCAATTAGTCGAAGACATTGGTGAAGGTTCCGTTCCTCTACGGTTTATGGTTTCGAAGGAGTAGCGATAACAAGCTATTCTTGCGAAAGGGGCAATAACTTCGTAGGAGGTCATAGGTCAAACACGGGGGGTCGTTTTTCGGAATAACTTTTGATATCCAGTATCATGACCTATAAAGTTTTTCGATAAGTCTTGCAGTTTCAAAAGTCCGGGAAGAAAAATAATAATAATAATAATAATAATAATAATAATAAACATAAGCATTTCAAGAGGTCTTTCCACAGAAAGGTGGAAAGACCTAATTATCTTGTACTGTATCACGATACATACATGGTGATACGATATGGGTATTGTGAGCCCTTACAATCAATACCATCGATGTACTGCTGTAAGGTTACATCTCTAATCTTTATGACATCTTCAGTAGATATATGTAACATGTGTAATGCACATTTTCACTAATAGGCAATGTTCCAACTACTTTCATGATTAGAACTCTTCAGAAATGAGAACAAACTAAAGTTTTATAAGTTATGTAACTGGGACAAGGGATGTAACTGTAGCAAAAGAAGCTTTGCAAGAAAAATCTTCAGAGGTCAAAGGATTTGATAGCAATACCTTCTAAATTTTTTTAATTTTGATCATTTAAATTTTACCGAATCATTTTTATCTTTCATAATCTATGAAAACAAGATTAAAATTATTTTCCTAATAAGTTATCCCACTTACAATTTAATGTCCACTTATCTACTCTCTTCAAAAGGGGAGCTCTATCAAGGGAAGTAATTTGAAAATGACGTATTATAAGAAATTCATGAATTATAAACTACATGGTTACTTTTTGTAGGAATTACTGAGGCTGTAAACAGTTGTATTGATTCTGAGGATCTAGGAAGGCTATTTGCTGTGGTTCATTTGGCAGGGTTCC